GCGGCGCAGGACAGGCAGGCCTGGTTTCAGCGGGCAGAACGAGTCTTGCTGAGTAAAGGGTGCCTACCGACAACCCTACTACTCTAGGATGCAGCAACAAGACTTGTGTGGACGATGCTTGGTGCAGCATCAGGCTGGCTTCCATCTTCTGCCATCTAGAATAGAACCTGTCGAAACCCCCTACCCATCTGTTTATGTGAATGTCAGGATAGTGTCTGCGTTCAGCGACCTTGCAGTGGAGGCACAGTAAGTGTAGCAGCCCTCATACAACCGCCCAGGGTCAGAATAGAAAGAACCGAGGTGGAGCCGGGACACTGTCCGGTGCGGGTCGCGGCGCGACTTGTTAAAACAATCCTGCAATCACAACGGCAACAGCATGTGCTCATCAGACTGGGCACGGCGCGAGGAGTTCTGTTGGCGATGGGAGAGCATCCCCCCCTGAGCCAAGTCCCTGAGCTCGCTCAAGCCAAACACATGATTGGCCAGTTGGGGCATGCAATACAGATTCTGCACGCATCACAGGAAGATAAGGATCCAGTGTGTCAGCAGCTCCAGCACCAACTGCAGGTCACGGCAGATCAGACACTCATACTCATCCATGTCAGAGTCAGACTGGATGGGACGCAGTAGTGGGCAGGCGTGACAACCTGGACTAGGGGGGTAAATCTTGCCTGTGTTTTTTGTTGGGAGAGCTCAAGTTCACGCACGTGTTATGAAGCGCTTCCGCTGCACCCTGAATCCGTGCGCGTGTGAATTCATTACGAAATTTGAAGCACAGTACTAACTTATTGGCTGCGCCCTCTGCATGAATAGTTTTCATGACCGACTTCACATATCTATCCCTGTTGATGCAAGTAGCCAGCCGCGAGCATGAGACTCCAGTTGCAGGTTGCATGTCGCAGGTTCAGCCTTGTAAAACCCCCAAGCAAGCAAAGTGCGTAGAGTACCTAGCCGTAGCCCCCGCAGGCCCCGATGGAAGCCATGGACAACCTCACCAGGGACCAATAGGTGTGGATCATGACTTTCATGGTCATCGCAGCGGGCATGCCGTTCTGGACGTGCCGAGCCTGCCTGTCCGGCAGACTCAGACAGCTCCATGCAGGGACAGCACACTGGGCGTGCGCCAACTGGCTTGAGTGGACCACTCCTGGACTTGGACATGGTTCCGGGTGCCAGAAAAGCCACCACCCAGATGCTGGAAGCTGCGTTGGAGGGCATGACAACGGCGACCTAACAGGCGGTAGGCTCGTGGGCAAGCAGCTCGTGGCCACTTACAGGCTGCTTCAGAAAGGTCTCCCTGACCTAAAAACCAGCGGAGAGAACCAGCACGCAGAGGCCAAAAAGATGTTGCTCAGACACGTTTTGGAAAAGCTCCTGGAGCTGACCAAGCTCCTGGAAACTTTCAAAGAAGCTGTGACTGAACTCCGAGCTCCTTGCATTGAAAGCTCTACCATAGGCAACAACTGCAATAGGCAACGACTGCAAGGCAATTCTCTAAACAGGGAGGACTACTTCCCTGCCATGCAGCAACACATCATAGCTCTTCAGGCCAAGGCCTCAGGCCAGGGCGTCGGTGCCAGTGACTGTGCAGCCTGTGCCGCTCCTCCACTTCAGCGTCGCGGTCACTTGGAGGGGTCCTCAAACGGCCCAAGCTGATGTGTTCGTGGCCCGGTCGGCAGCACCTGCGCCTGAGATGCTGCTACAACTGGCCATCCAGCTCATGCAGCAGCGTTCGCTAGTAGTCAATCAAGAGAGGCTTGTAATTCCCACTCTTGCGTGTGCATGGAATTTATTGCTTCAAGTGCATGTCTGACTTTGCGTGTGCCGCAATTTGTTGCATGATGTCCTCTGCATTCAAACTGCATGTGTGGAATCCGGTGGAAAACTCCACTGCATGCACGCTGAGCAGCAGAATTCAGTGCATTGCAATTTGTCTTCAATGCACGCACAGAATTTGAGTGAAAGCATGATGGCATGAAGCTCTGAGTACTTATTATTTTGGGCTTTACGGGGCTTTGTTGCGGCGAGGTCACTTCTGTGATTCGACTTTCTTGAACTTATGAATTAGCTGCATGGTCCGAGTGGGAAGCCTCCTGACAGCTGCTGTGATATCATCGAACACAATGGTATACAAGCATGTAACATATGTAACATCGGCAGTGTGCCCACAGACAAGGCGTAAGACCTTCATGTAGACCGCTTGCAGCCCACAACAGGCAGCCACCATGTTGAAAGTCGGCGTAGCAGTGACAAGCGGTTGAGTCAAGTCAACCCACAGCAAGCATTCCCACCGCCGCGTCCGCCCGACGTCCCACAGAGTGGTGGTGCTGGCTGATGCCCTGCGTGATGCCGCTGCCTCTGCTTCTGCCCTGCCTGCCTGCTGATGATGATGATGATGATGATAATGATCTGCTCTGCCTGCTATGCTGCCAGGGCCGACCTGTGTCTGAGCTGGAAACCTCTTGTTGTTTGTGCACCTTCCGGTTTGGCAGAGTTGGTTTTTGTTATTCTGTATTGGGTTTACTTGGAAGTGTTTTTGTTTGAGCTCCTGAGCCGTACACAGTGAGCCATGGACAGAGTTGAGGAGCTGTGAGAAGTCTGCAGTCCAACTCTGTATGCGCAACCGAGAGCATCAGAGTCAACAGCTTCGTATGCGGACTGGGCTGTGTGGTGAACAAACCGGAAAGCAAGCCCGTCTGGATGCCTGAGCCCTTCTAGATGCCTGCATTCCCTGGGTTGCGGTGGTTGGTTACAGCTTGTGCCAGGGCCCAACGACTCTTAAACGAAGCAGAGGCAGGCCACTGCCCAATGTGGTGGCATGGTGGAAAACTCAAACAACCGGCTGCACTGCATGGCCTCATGATGCCTCATGGAGAAGTCATGATTCTGGCATTTGGGAATTGGGGAATTCGGTGACTGCAACACACAGACTGGTGGTGCCTGATCACAAACTGAAGTGATGAGGTGCAATGGTCACAGCTTCCGCCAAAGCTCAGTGACTCCTAGGTAAGCAAGATAAGCTGCACGGCATGGAGACTTCTTGAATTCATGAATTCTGGAATTTGGGCATGCGGTGACTGCATGGCGACTGCTACTGGCTGGTCGCAGCGTCGTGAATTCGGGGCTGGTTTCGACAAGTGAGCTGCATGACTCTTTTTCCAAAAGCCGTCTTGCTGGCGGGCAGTGGGATCCTCCTGGTGCTGAATTGAGTGCTGGCCAGCTAGCTGAGTGAGTAGGAAGCTAGCTGTCCCTCAGGGGTAGCTGCCTCCCGTCAATGGCCTGGTACTGCCGGAGCAGAATCTCGCCGTGCCTGAACTGTTGTGCGATGCGCGAGTAAACCTTCATGTTTCGACGCGACAAAATTAGTTCAAGCTAGGCTGCCGGGACTGCGCAGCCTTGCTGTTTTCAGTGTTTGCGCAGGAAATCAATCGGCACAACAAGCCAAGTTGCCGGGACCGTGTCAGGACCACGCAGCACTCCAGTTGTCCAGGCCTTCATGAGCTTAGTTTGGGGTGGCCCCTGATGAGCACGCTCGGGCAGCCCCCAGCCTGACAGCCAGGCTGCTGGGATTGCACAGTGTTGCTGTTTGCAGTGACCGCAGGAAATCCACAACAAGCCAGGTTGCTGGGACCGCAAGGACACCCCGAAGTCGGCAAACCCGATTGGCGACAAGTGCCAACTGCCGAAGAAATGTCGCCCAAGGGCCTGGAGCCCGGCGGCAGCGATGGGCTTTGGCCCCGCAACCAAAACTTTCGAAAAAATCTCCTAGAAAGAGTGCCGGAGGTGGGCCATTACTAGCCTACACGTTTGACATGAGTAAATGAAGTCTTTCATCAACCTGAATTGCTTTGATGAAGCCCAAGACAACACAGGAAGATCAGCGGGAAGTTTGCATCACAGCCTTCGTGGCAAAGCCTGACCTGCGTCCCCAGCACGCTGCATTTTGGCTGAGCAGAGTGTGCACTGCCGTAGACGCCATGCCCAACCCGCGCGTTTTCTTCGATGTGGAGATTGGCGGGCGCTAGGAGCCCCAGGTTTCGGATGGTGTTATTGCAGTTATTTGCTGCTTGAGTTGGAAAACCTTGCTCGAGCATGAAATTGGGGTAAGGAACTACTTCACGCACGCTGTACTTAGCGACCTTGCGCCTGATGTGTGACTTCGTGAATCGATGCATAGATCAAGCCTCGACGCCTCGATTTGCCGCATGATTGCGGTTGCTCGCTACCGTAACGGCATCCCCTTTGCTGCATTGCGCTCTCAATGCTTTGGCCACCTAGATTGGAGAAACGTCGCCTCGGATTGCCTCTTCGTAAGCTAGTCTGTGGTCTTGATTGAGCGGAGGCCCTGGACAGAAGAATGAATGAATAGGAATCTCCGGAACAATATGTGGTTGGTTCGAATCGAATATTAAGATTGTGAAACAACAAGTAAGAATTGCTGCTCCTGCAGTAGTCTCACATCTTCTTTCCATCATTTCTAGATTTCTTTTAAAGCAAGTTGTCCTGTCAGGAGAGAATGTTCTGTACGGGGTTGGCTGGCAAGCAATGATGTCTACTCGCGCTTAAGCACAGTGGCAAGGGTTTCGATTTCTGGGCTTGGCTCATCGATGCCCAAATTTAGGGTTCACATGTACTCCTGAAGAAGAAAAGTCAGAGCCTGCAGTGAGATGAAGACTTCTTCATACGCTGCCTCTTAGGTAAAAAATGTGTTCTAGAACTCTAGGCGGCCGTCGCCCATACAAGATTTGAAAATGGCGGTGTGGATGTTGCTGCAATCAAGAGTTCGGATTCCGTAACCTACATCAAGTCCCACTCCTGAGGCATTTGTGATGTGCGCCTTGTTGACTTCTTTGGACCAAGAAAAGCATGGACAATAATTGGATGTCTCATGTCGAACCTTACCTGCTGGATTGCCTGTGTCTTGCAAGCTGCTTGCATTGAACGGTCCTGTACAATCGGCGGCGTGCGGCAAAGCCCGAGGCCCAGCTGGCCGCATAGAGATGGAGCTCTTTGCGGAGCGAGCTTGAGCCTGCCAAGCTTGTACAGAGAGCCCTAGGTTCAAGCATGTTCAAGCTCTCCTGCAGGATACAGTTCCTAAAACCGCTGAGAACTTCCGTGCTCTTTGCACTGGCGAGAAGGCCTGTGGTGGAGATTGCGTCTCTGAAAAGAGCGGAAACAAGGGCCATGATTATCTGACGACACGGTCAGAAGGGTGGAAAGGCACTGCGCTGCCTGAATACCTGGCAGGGCAAAGGGCGTTCTGGGAAGCCGCTCCATTACAAGGGGAGCGCGCGCCCACCTCAGCACTAGCTGGCCATGCAGCTCGTGAGCACACCGGCCTGCTGTCAACCACCCCGCTGAGGTTTCACCGAGTGATCCCAGACTTCATGTGACATGGACTCAGCTGCTGGCTGCCGCTGCTGGTTCGACTGAAATCTTCTTGCTGGACGCAGGTCAGGGGGGCGACTTTACCCGTGGCAACGGCACTGGCGGCGAGCTGCGGCCCTAATTCGGAGTTTTGGTTCATCTTGTTCCCGCATGTTTCCCCGCACTTGTTGAAGACTCAATCCTGAGGTCTATCTATGGTGAAAAGTTCCGCCCGGATGCCCAACGCTGTTTCCACGTCCATCCAGTGCATAGTTGCATCTATGTAAGCATTCTTCATACAGGTAGCAGGATTTGCATTGGTGGCTTGGAAACCAGTGTGGAGACGTGAGAGGCAGTAAAATGAAGTTTGATGGGGATCAGAAACCTTAATTCGATCATGTAATTAGCGTGACTGCAAGTGCCATATACCGAAGTATACAGAGTTCCATCTATGCGGGTAGAATGCCTCTGAAGCTCTGGAACTACTGCAAGTTCCTATACCTGTAGCTTCTGGAAAGGTCTAGCTGCTCAGCTGCTGTATGCTGCAGTATGTGCAGCCTTTGAGCAGCTCCCCATGTAATTTCTTGCATCTGCAGCCTTGAAAAGCACCAACGACCGTAATGTCCTGTCTGCAGCATTTGGGAGCTCCAAATGTCGTGAAGAGCTCAAGTTCTTGTCATTGTAGAGTATATTCTGTATTTGCTCAGTTCTAAGAACAAGCTTCGAGGCTGACGTTGAACGAGTCGCTGTGAGAGAGAGAAAGAGAGAGAGAGAGCTCAATTTCTTGAATTTGTGGTCTCTACCTCTGTAGTTCATTTTGAATTGATTTTGAGCATTTTACGGATCCTCATTCTCAATTCTTTTTCCCCCAGACCGAATTCGAAGAGTATTCGGCCTGCCTGATTTGCAATTCAAGGCTGGCCAAGCCGTCAAGCCAAGTGGAAGCCAAGTGTTGCAAGGCGACGAGAACTTCAAGCACAAGCACACAGGACCCGGAATCCTGTCAATGGCCAATGCTGGGTGAGGACCTCAATCGTTTCAGTCCCTTGCCTCGGCCAGGCGGATCAATCCGTACCTCTCTGAAACTGAACAGCAAAACTGATTGCAGCAAGCTTGTTGAACACAAGCTTTCACTAGCAGAGGCGTTTAGGGGGGGTGGGGTGTGTCTGTTAAAACCCTAGGGGACAGGTAGGCTTCTTCTTGTGCAATAAGCCACACCCAGTGTGCCCCTGCAACCGCAAAACTGAAACAGGATTGGCCAAAACTTCATTCGCATCTGAGAAGTGCCCATTACAGGTCAACAGCTAAATCCCCACGAGCATTTATTTTGACATACATGTGAGGCCAAACACCAATGGCTCTCAGTTCTTCCTGTGCACTACCGCGACATTCTAAGAGCCGGAAGGGCCCAAGAGGGTGGGGAGGCAGGCGTGACCATGGCTCCAGAAGCTCAGGCCACCCCACACCTGAACGGAAAGCACGTAGTCTTTGGCAAGGCTGGCTCAGGAAAGCAGGGACGGAGGCTGCTTGGTTGTTGCTGTTGCTAGGTGGTGGAGGGGATGGATGTTGCGCGGAGCTCAGGTTTGAAAGTGACCTGAGGATTGAGATCTAAAGGTTGTAGGAAAGGCTTTCTAACCACATGGACCATCAGGATACGAAGATAGGCCTGCACGGAAAATCATCACCGCTCCTCCGCTTCTCTCCAGCAGTGCCTAGGCTCTGTCCAGCATGGGCCGTGTCTTGGCAGGGTCCTGCATATGAGTCACGCCCTGGCCAGTGGAAAAGCACCTCCCTTGGCACACTTCACAAGCACCGACTTGAAGAAACCCGTGGTCACCCATTGCAGGCGACAAAAGGAGCGGCCTCGACCCCCCCAGATGCCCTGGCCCTCTTGCTTTCAAGACCAACTGCCATTGCAGATCAGCTGGACAAAACTTAGAAGGCTTTCCAAAAGACTGCCCATGTAAACACAGAAAGGAAACACAAGCATCACACTGAAGCAGAGGACTAGCAAGACCTATTATCACATAATTGGTGGCATGATTTAGGGCCTGCGGCACTGGCCGGCCTGGCCGCCGCCCCCTTGCCCACCCAGGTCTTGTTACCTGGGATGTTTTTTTAGGTTTTGAAGACCCTGTTCTCTTTGCTTTAACTCAAAGCGGCCAAGAGTGGGGTCCCAATTGTGTGAGGAAGATCAGCTGCACAATTGGGACCCCATTTCGGCTTCATTGGGACCAGGAGGGGTCAAAAACCCAAGGAAAACCATCAAAGATGACTTTAGACACGG